AAAGGAGCGGGGTGCTCCTATCTGAGCTGAGTGGTCACCCTGGTTCGAGGCAGGGAGGCCTTCGTGGAGGCATCAGTGATCAGCCTCAGAAGACAGGAGAAAGCTTGTCTCGCTGCATGATATGAAAAATAGGACATATTACAATATTATTACAGTATGCTCAAAGGCACGTGAGAAAGCCGACGGCTTCCTTCGGCGTTACAGCAAGTGGAATGGGCCCCTAGAAAGCCTTGAGAGAGTCTTGTGACATGGAACCAAGTGTGCTGTATGCACTCCGAGAAGTCCAAAAAAGAAGCCTCAGAGGCAGGCATAATCTGCCAGTGTAACAAAAAAAGACGGAGGAAATTAGGAAGTTAATACAAATTCCGAAATGTTAAAAGGGTCTCGTCCATCCCGACCTTTGCTTTGAAATGTTGTTTGACTTGAACAATTTCTAGCTTCTTTAACAACACTTATTGTAAAGGCCATGACTTTTTAGATTTTGAAGATCTCTACAACGAACATTTTGAAAAATGTCAACAACAAACTTGAGACAATTTTAAAGGCATCCATCCTTTTTGCTGTTAAAACAGTTGGAAATAAAACTCAAAAATCCAGAGAAGGGTCTCGTCCATGCTAGGACCCCATGGTGTCGAACAAGCCAATAACGAACAGTTTTTGTTGAGAGTTTCAACATGGGCATTCGTCCTGAGCCAGGCTTCTCTTGAGCGAGGTCCGACCTTCAAATTTACCCAGGTTCCCTGCAAAGTCCCTTAGCTCTTGGTTGGGGGGGGGGGGGGTATGTAGGCATTATGGAGTCTTATGAAAGCTGATGATGTCTTTGCAAATGGACTTTCGTAAGTTTTCATATTGTTTCATAAGATTCCAGAAGACTCGTTTGAAGCTCACTCCCGACAATGTTAAGGTGTAGGTGTGAGGGACAAGGACTTGCGATTTGTCATCTGGGAACCTAGCCGGCCCCAAATTTTAGAGACCCCGGCGTGCGATTTGTCTTGGTCGGAGATAACTTATCTTGTCATTCAAAGTGTGAAGGATCGGGGCTTGCGATGGACTCTCTTGTTTTCAAGAAAAAGAGTTACAATTCGTGAGGAAGAAAAAGGCTAGATACTGCGTTTCTTGTGGAAGTACAAAGGGATTCGCATTGAGAGCCACAGGGGGCCCACTTGCTTCACAATGAGAATGAAGGTAGGTTCACCGTGGACTGAGGATGAAGATGGAGATCCCTACCAGAAACGCCAAAACTTTCCATTTCCTTACCACACCTTGTTAAGAACATTTGGACTTCCATTGAATTGGACATCGAGAAGCCTGAAAGACAGCCCCCAGAAACTCTCCAGAAGAACTGCTTCATTGAGATATCACATGAATTTCTACAATTTCCCAATACATGAGAACCTCCCCTCATTCGGCTTGAAGTGACAAAGAAATCCATTTGGGTTGAAGTAAAAAGACCACACATGGTCAGAATTCTTGTCTGCTGCATAAGAGTTGTTTTGTTTCAAGTGAGGGAGCCATTCATCTGTCTATGACGTCATGCACCGGCTCCTCCGACTCTACGCGTCATCCTTTGATTGGTAATGAAATTTCCTCCCCACAGTACTTTGCCAGGAGCCTAGGGCTCTCACCTTGGCTTTCTTAAGGAGCTCTCGTGCTTCCACAACTCACAAGAAGACGTAAACAAGATTGCGGGCTCTCGTATCTTTGGCTCACTGAAACTAAACATCAGAATGAGGTGAGTGCTATCACCCCCGTGAAAGGAACAGGTGTTCTTGTTTTGTTGGCGAAAATTTGTAAGGACTCGCATTAACAGCTGCAGGTGCCCTTTCAGACGTCGCCCAAGTTGACTGAATGTCTTTTCATAAAAGTTATCATCCATCCTCGTAGAAAATTCAAGCCTACGCAGGACTTCTTTCTCATTCTGCGATCGCTTTCGTTGCTAATCCCGGCAGCAGAATGTCAGCAGTTTTCCTCGAGAACGTAAGCGAGGAGTTTGGCGGCATTTCAACTTTAAAAACATGCATCGCTACTGTTCTCACTATGTCTTGAAAGTAGAAGAGTAGAAGATCTCTTGTTCACAGAAAAAGCAGAACAGAAAACTAGCTATTTTCCGTTGGGTTGTGTCAAGGGTGTTTTGAGAAGGCGACAAGAAACAGACAAACTTGCAGGCTTAGTTTCCAGGTGCATTGGAGGTGAAGACGGTCAAAGTTGTATCCTACTTTGTCCTTCAAGGGTGTTGGGCAAACTTCCAGGAACGTTATTGTGTTGTGTGGCGGCAACTACCTGTTGCTTGTCGTATGTCAACTAGGGCACGCTTTCGCAAGTAACAAGTCAGATGTTACAACACATACCAAAGCCACTGTAAAACAAGGCCTGACTCAAACTATACATAAAGGTGCATGACACACAGACTCTATGGCGCGGCAATGCCAGGTGCAAGGACTTCCTTCCCGAACTCCCAAACAATCTTGAAGTCCAGTGAAGTCCAGTGAAGTCAAGGGGCAAAGCCGAATCCGACACACTGGACACGTCCCAGCTGGTGTGTTGGCGGTGCGAATGAAGTCCGCCAACTTCGGCCAGCGCCTGTGAGATTTTGGGGCGGGGAGCTTCTCCTGGGTCCAGGAATCATTGTTTCCGAACCTTCTGCAGATTTGTTCGCGGGTTCGAGGTGCCGGGATGTGCGGGATGTGCCAACTGCCCTCTCTCACAGCCCCATGCCGAAAACCTGCCGAGGCTTTAAAGTGGCAGTGACCCGGCAGAGCTGTAGCGAATGTAGGTGGGATTTTTTCGGCGTTGGACTGTCTGGAGAGAATGTGACCTCGCTAAAACGGTGTAAAACCTTCGCCGTGTGTGCACGCGGAGAGCGTCTCCCAAACAGGCGTGGAAACCTGAAACCCCCTCTTCAATTCTGGGCGACACCCAACTCTTGAAAGAAACTTTGGAAACCAAGAGCCCAAGCCCCGTCCCCTCCACGCCTCCTCGCGCTCTGTGAATCCTGCAAAGCTCCCTTCTTTCGACCTTGGAGCAAAGCTTCGACACCGGCCCTCGGCCGGAATGGGCTTACTAGGTGAGATCGGAGCAGGAAGTTAGGAAGCTCGCAGTTTTCTGTTTGCTTCAGGTCGTTTAGGTGGGGTGCGTAGACATCTCGGCAGAGGCACCCGCCATAGCCTGACGCGATCAGAAATGCCGATGCAGATTTTCGACGGAACTCATCGAAGTCCTGTTTGAGCGGAGGGTCAATGTCTCCACTGATCATAGTGACACAGAGCTGCGCTACCGGGAAGACCTTCTCAGAGCTCGGGCCCTAGAACCATCCCAGGCCGTCCCAAGCCCTTGAGATTGTTGCCCGCTCTTGACTCGACAAGTTGTGTTTTCACTGACTCGCGCCTCCAGGTACTTCCTCCTGCAGTCTCCCCGGCAGTCGTCACAGCCGGGCTGCCGGCCTGGGCGCCACAGGTGCCGCAACAAAGCAACAAAGAAACGGTGCACAAAGCCTGTCGGGAACAAACTCATGACCTTCTTCAGAGCTTATGCTGAGGATCCCGCCCCAGTGACACGCTTGCTGCGCCTGCCAAAGCAATAAGCTTTCCTTTGTAGTGCGATTCGTTGGGCTCACGTCTTGCTTCTTTGCAGCTGTTCATGCTGGTGTTCATGCTAGGGAACGCAAATCTCAACAGGGGCAGCCTGGCAAGCAGCCAGCGGCAGAGTGGTGCAAACGTCCTGGGCCCCGGGCACGCTGTTGAACTTGCACAGGCGCCCTCTGCTTTCAACATCTCTCAACCCAAGGTCTTGAACCCCACTGTATCAAATTGCCTCTGAGAGAGAACGTGTTACGAAACAGAATCCTCAAGCTCTAAAGGCTTCATACACTCAACGAAAATACTTGTATTCGCCTCGCGTCTGGAACCCAACCCTTCCACTTCCCCACCTCGCAAACTTTCTGCGCACCCCCATTCCCCCCCCCTTGCCCAGTGGGACCTGCCCAAACCGCCTGGAGTCCCTGGAGGAGCCGAAATCCCATGCTGCATGTGGCGGGCAGGGCTCCTCCCACACGAAAAACAACTCCCCGCAGTCGCGACCCGCGCCTTCCCAAGGACCCCCTGCGACACGCCTGCGAGGCCCTTGCATGGGGCCAAGGCTGCCGAGGCGGTGTGCGCGCAAGCGCCTGGCCTCAGGACATCTCACAGTGCTGCCGTCCTCGAGTCCCTCGTGGATCGCACGACAGGCCTTGGGCTCGCTTAGTGGCTTCTGTGTTGATGCTAGGATCCTGCACTCAGACCTACAGGCAAAAAAAAGAACAACCTGAGAGTGGAATCCAAAGCTTGCAACGCCATGTCACCTCGCCTCGTCACAGTCGGGGCCGCAGCAGCAGGCTTCCTCGAAGGCCAAAAGAGAGCGAATCGGCAGAGGGGCTTCGGGGCCTTTCGCGGTTCTGCTGGATGTTTCGGCCCGAAACCTGGCGATCGCCGGCGCAAAGGAAAAGCAGGGCCGAGGCTGCACGCCAGCACCTAGCATGTTGAGGAGGTGAGAACATGTGAGAACTTGCTATTCGAGGCGCGGCATTCTGGAGGGCCAAAAACTCAGTGTCCTGGTGGCCCCCACCGCGATGCTAGTACTACATTGCTGCATCGACATCGTGCGGAACGTCGTGCGGCCGTCCCAACATGAAAGCGCCTTTACAAGATCGTAGCTCGGTTCAAAAACGCTCAAAGAGCTCCCCATGACCCGTTTAGAAGTTGCTCAAAGCAGCGCAAAGCGGCCTCGTCAGCCCCATAGGTGAAGCGGACGAAGGCACATCCTCCGCCTGCCAAAGCGTCCGCGGAGCATGCACAAGCACCAAAGTTGAGGTCCGGGGCTGAGAAAGATGCGAGCTTCTTGGAAGCTTCTTGAGAGATTAAGGAGGACAAAAAAAAACAAACATCCTTAGGAAGGGGGCAAGCAGCGAGCTGGGGCAGCGCGTTCGCAGCATGCGTATTCATGTCGAGTATAAAGCATAGGCGATTCTACAGAAAAAAAAACACGTCCAAGGGGGATATGCATCTTATTGGGGCAACAGCTGGTTGAGGCAGCCTACAGCGGGCAGAATTGTCCCAAGCAGTCACCTGTCCAAGCCGCCGCCCTCGTGCGGTGAAGGCGAAGCCGAAGGCGAAGCCGAAGGCGAAGCCGAAGGCGAAGCCAAAGGCGAAGCCAAAGGCGAAGCCAAAGGCGAAGCCATGAGTGTGGGCGGCGGGGGGCTCTTGGGGGCTCTTGGGCGTATAATGAAGGAAAGAGTGGGGGGGGTTCATGGGGGCTCGTGGGGTCCAGGATTTTGGTGGCATTGGGGCATGTGGCTCCCTGCTGTCCAGCTTTTGCGAAGCTTGATCGTCGAGGAGCCTGTCTTGAGAAGGTTCCTATTTCAAGATGCTCGTCTCTAAGTGGAACACAGTGCACCTTTGTGAAGCTTAACTTGCTGCGAATTCACTGACGGATGCCTGGAGCTACGCAGCACCTTCAGAGCGTGCGGCGTGTGCCACTCCAGCTCCGTCCGCTTGAGCGGCGTCCACGTCCTCCCACGGAGGGAGTAAGACCGCTGAAGAGGGACTAACAGAAGATGAAGCTTTGGCGATGATGGCCAGGGTACACAAACTAATGCCGTCTTTCTACGAGGCAAAATTCTCAAAGACGTGCTAGTCAGCTAGTCCTTCTGCAAGGAAAGGGGATGGATACAAGGTAACAGTCACCTAGCCTGGGAGTCCTTGGACCTGGGGCCCAAGCATAACCACGCAGGAAACATGAAGACCGAAGGCCCTCCAACTCCCGGCTTCTTGCACGCTGGGGCGCTGGTACGCGGAGCCGCTCAGCTTTCTGCACCTGCACAGTATCGGAGCTGGACTGTTGGGAGCCCTTCGACCCTCTGCAGTGGCAGTCTGTCCAGAATCCATCTGCAAAGGTACTTCAAGTGCCTAGCGAGGGCGACAAGAGACTGGAGCCAAGAGGCAAGAGCCAAGAGGCAAGAGACAAGAGAGAAGAGCCAAAAGCCGAGAGACACGAGGCAACAGACAAGAGACAAGAGCGATTTGGCAAGAGACAGGATACAAGAGGCAAGAGACAAGAGACGGAGAGCGAGAGCGAAAAAGAACAAAAACTATCCTTGCACAGCAAGCTCATTATTCTAAGGTGCGTGCATGGAGCAGTGGCAATGCTGAAACTCTCGAGGGCTCCCTGTAGTCCTGGTCAAGACAGTCGAGCTCAACTGAAATGGCCGGACGAAACTTCGAACCGTAACAACAATTGCGTTTTAACAAAAACCGAATGAGGCATTCTTCAAGGGTGCAAACTGGGTGCTCCTGAAGCGGCACTTCCCGCAAAGGCAGGAACCCTGCGCCGGCGGCCCAGGCCGGCTTGGGAAGAATGGCCTCGAAGAGAAGCGCCGGCAGCGCCCAAAAAGTATCCCTTCACAGAAACAAGTCTGAGATTAAGAGGTACATGTACGATGGGAGTATCAAACTGGAAGAAACGAGTAGCTACCAAGTTGTTTGAAAGGAGACATGAATGCATCCGCCAGTTCGGATCGCTTTTTTTAGCTACTACACCTGAACCACTCCGCTGGGTCACAGGGTCTTCAACAGCAGGAACAACGTCCTCCGGCCTCCGGCTGCAACTGCTGGAGTTCAACATTTTTCTCACATCCTGAAGCAGCCTTTCCTGCCTTTCCTCAATCTCTGGAGAATCCCTCAAAAACCCTCGGACAAAGGATTGGGCTGGGCTTAGGGAGAAAGAGGACTCCTTGAGCTTGTGCTCTCGACGCTCTAACAGGCCCGAGGCACACCGCAAGGGGCCCGAAGGCAGCCGGGGATTGCGTCGCTAAGTCCTGCTGTCGCGCTCGCGCATGTCGTGAAGTCTGGGTCTTGCATCAATTCGGACCGCTTCAATAAATGAACCCGGCACCTCGATCTCTGGCCTGAAGCCCTTCGGGAAGTGCTGGTCAGAGAGGATCTTAGCAGAGCCACAGGGAAAGACTGTCAGAGCAGGTTTAACAGCTGTAGGACACGCTAAAGGGGGTCGAGGCTCAGTGTACGGAAGAAACCTCCAACGCAAACGCTGGACCCGTGCGTGCGGTACGGCTCAAGGGCCCTGTTAAGCCGACACGCAATGGCCATATCGTGTATTCGACCTATGCTTGGCACATTGCCAGCAATGCTTATATCCGGGCAGGGTTTAAACATAGGACGGATTCAGACCGAGCGTGGGAAAGCTGAAGGAGTTAGCAAGTTAGAAGGCAGGCATCTGCAAGTTGAAAGCTTGCAGAGTGCATTCAGCAAACTCTTCAGCAAACTCTGACACTTGGGTGCCGCACTCCTGCAGCCAGGAGAAAGAGCGCCTGGGCTCCAAACTCGGATGGTGAGAGACTTGGACCCCACAGAAACGCGACTGCGGCGGAAGGAACTGAAGGTGCGATCCCCCCTACCAGCCCACCTAGTCCTGCCTAAATGCTGAGCCCCTCACGGCCTTCCCCTCCATGTGCAAGGAGACAATGCAGGTGCTACCGCACCTACAAGCTCGGCTCCGCTCTTGGGATCCCCAAATCCTCACGCACCAACTTCCAAGAAGCCTTCAAGCCTCGTTCTTGGGAGCTCTTTCTTAAAACGCGCTTGAGGCGGATGGTTAGGATGGTTAAGACACACGCACAAGCATGTGGCCCGTGTGGCACCACGGTCGAATCCTTGGGCCGTGACGACCGGCAGAAGTGCCGCCGAACCGATGCATTGAAACTGCCTGCACGGGCAATAAACGAAGCGGCTTGCTGACTGCAGACTGTTCTGAGATTTACGAGGCTCACATCGGCTTCCAATTCGATCTGTAGGACCTGTACTTACTGCATTGTTGCATTGCCTGCCGACTAGTTGGCAGAAAGGGGCCTGGGTGTGCATGGGCCGTGGACGACAAAACGTGCCCCATCCTCTTCACTTCACATCCCGCCTATCCGCCTCTCCCGCCTCTCCGAGCCTATCCCGCCTGTCCTATCCCGGCTACCCCACCTTCGAGCCCGGCACACATGGACAACGGACCCTCCTGCAGCGCTCCTGCGACCAGGAGCTTGGCAGTGTCTTGGAACAAGCTTGGAAAAAGGAAGGCGGAAGGTGACAGAATTGCCAGGGGTGACTTGGGGATGCAATAACAAAGTACTCAGCGCGGGCAGCAGATACTACAAGAACAGCTGCTGTCAGAAGGGGACACAACAGATAAGCTGCTGAGCAGAGGAACGTCTGTCAGCGCTTCATCTGCGAAGGCCCGATTATTGCGTTGGTGGGCTTGTTCACTTTGCACGCCTTTTTGAACACGCGGCCCTTTGCCGTAGCAGAATCAGCCCTGGTGCAGTTTGAGGATGCTGCGGGACTTAGAGCTCAAGCCCTCCCCTGAAATCGCCTTAAACCCCTAAAGCATATGAACACCAAGAATCGCCCCATCACACGCGTCACGCAGACGACCCCAGTTCCCGCCTCGGAAGTTGGAACCTCCAAGCGCCTCTTTGGCCTGGCGGAGGAGTCGGGTGCCAGGAACCAACAACTCTTTGGATTTAGTCGCGCTTTTGGAGCTAGATGCGGCTTCTGAACTTCTACTCACTACGAACTCACTATCCCCGCTTTCGTTTCGTAGTCACGTGGGTTAACCCCCGCCGTGAATCGCTTGCGAGACAACAACCTCGCCCTCCAACTCCGCTTCCGCTTCCGCTTCATTGGACGCCGAGTTCGCCAGCCAGTATTTCAGTTCCGCCTACTGCTGAGTACCCAAGCCCAAGTTGGGTGGATGGGTTTCACTCCAATATCGGGTGCACTGGCAGTGCCGCCAGTTTCTCGCAGCCCAAGCCGCTACATTTGACCCCATGGCGGCATGGCGAAAGCCCCTGCTGCTACCCCAATATTGGCAATGTAGCGTGAAGTTTCGGAGACCCGAGAATTGAAGCAGCAACAGCAACAACAAACCACAACAAACAACACACGAATGCTCGCCAGCACCCCGGGCATGTGAAGCTTCAGAAAAGCTTCAAAAGGCACGGCGAATCCCCGAGTCCTCGTCCTCTCGTCCTCGTGACTGTCAAGCACTTTTGACACGTTACGATCCTTGTGACTGTCGGCATTTTCGGTGCCTTCGAAGCTTCAAACAAGATCCAAATCATCTCCAAAGCTGACGACCGTCACCAGGATCGTCACAAAGCATTTGCTCAACCCCCTACCCCCCAACACTCGAAACGAGAACCCTGCACAACCTTTAAATAAAGACCCCGACCGCAATGTGCCTGGACAGTGCCTGCGGTGCGAAATGCGCGAAATGCGATGCTCCGAACAAAGCAAGGACCATGAAGCTCTTACCCTTCGGCCTCCAATGGGCACATGACAGAGAAGGCGGAGCCATGTGCCCGTCGACAGTCCGGACCTTGCTGTGGGTCCAAAGCCTCCCAAAAAAAGCCTCACACAAAAAGCCTGTCCCCAAAACCAAAAAGCCTCCCAAAAACAAAACCTCCCCACAAGCTTTCCGTTGATTCTTTTTTGGCCGGGCCGCAGTGGCACGAAAGCCAAGAACGATCCCGGGCAATAGGCGCCTTGCGAAGCCGTGGAAAGCAGCAAAACTGCCGAAAAGGGCGAGAAAGGTGTAGGTGCGGTGTGGGTCCTTGGTTTGGGTTTAAGACAATTGCCAGACAGATCCTGGAGCCAAACATCGGTCAGAACCTTCAAGGCACGTCTCCAGTCAGAGCTGCAGCTCCACTTCCCAACCGCTTGAACTCTTGAACTGACATCGCGAAAGCCCGCAAGCCCGACATCCTCTCCGCCTCAAGCCAAAGCCTAAGGTTGGAACCAGGAAGCGCACTGCCCCGCAGTGACCTGAAATCGGTACTTCTGCATCCTACTCATTCCAGAACTTTGAGCATGAGTTTGGGGCTGGTGCCCAGTCTGCCCACTCCATGCTCAGGGCTGGGCACGCGCTCGGGACATGGAAAACATCCGCCATGGCCCACAAAGGACTCGCAGAGGACTCACAGAGGACTCGTGGGACTCGACTTCGACTGGTGGGACCCACGGGGCGCCTCGACCCTTTGTGAAGTGGGAGTCGGGTTTGATACGAAATTAGGGGGTTCTTCTCATGTCAAGTTTCTGAATGGGTCTGATACTGGTATAAAGTTCCAGTAATGCTCACAGAGTCTGATGATTTGTCTGAATGAGCCCGAGTACATTGACTCTGGCAGATTCCTTATGCCTCACAAGCCAGCTGGACAGCTTAGATATTCATCAGTTCACAGCTTCAGGGTTCCAGGGTCGGATGCCATGTGTCAACCTTGTTT